ATAAGTCTTCCCATGTTTCTCTATATTTATCCTATTTGCTTCTTATAACTCAGTAATACTCCCTTACCTTTATGAACCACAGTTAGTTGAGTCATTCTGCCATTATTTTGTTGATAATTTTCTTTACTACTGCAAAAATTGTTGTTGTAAATATTTTGTTGTATGTGGGACCTTTCTTTTTTTGTCATGGTCACACAGTATATTAATAATCAGAAGGTCTTCAAACAAAATTTTTTCTATATTTTATTAATTAATTTATTTTGATTTATCAACAATCACTTCCATAAGCTTTTGAGTTTTAAATTTTCTCCCCCTCCGCCCCCACCTTCCTCCCCAAGACAGCATGCAATCTGATATAGGTCTACATATACATTCCTATTAAACATAGTTTCACATTAGTCATGTTGTTAAGAAGAATTAGAACCAATGGGAGGAACCACAAGAAAGAAGAAACAAAAACAAAACAGAAGAAAAAAAAAGCAAATAATGTGCTTTGATCTGCATTCAAACTCCATAGTTCTTTCTCTGGATGTGGATAACATTTTCCATCATGAGACTTTTGGAGATGTCTTATATCCTTGCATTGTTGAGAAGAGTTAAGTCTATCAAAATCATCATACAACGTGGCTGTTACTGTGTACAACATTCTCCTGGTTCTGCTCACTTCACTCAGCATTGGTCCAGGTTTTTCTGAAGTCAGCTGACTCACCATTTCTTATAGCATAATAGTATTCCATTAAATTCATATACCACAACTTGTTCAGCCATTCCCCAATTGATGGGCATCCCCTCAATTTCCAATTCTTTGCCACCACAGAAAGAGTTGCAATAAATATTTTTGTATATGTGGGTCCTTTTCCTGTTTTTATGATCTCTTTGGGATGCAGACCTAGAAGTGGTATTGCTGCATCAAAGAGTATGCATAATTTTATGCATAATTCCAAATTGCTCTCTAAAATGGCTGGATCAGTTTACAACTTCACCAGCAATGCATTAGTATTCCAATTTTCCCATATCTTCTCCAACATCATTTTCCTGAAATAAAATTTTTGCTATAGTATCTTTGAAGTTATCTGGTCAGGCAGTCAATCAGTCAATAAGCATTTATTAAACACTTACTCTATCCCAGGCACTGTACTAAGTTCTGGGGATACAAAGAAAGACAAAAACAAGCCTGCCTCAAGGAACTTACATTTTAATAGGGGACATAACATATAAATTAATGTCATGTCTGACTCTTCATGACCCCATTTGGGGTTTTCTTGGTAAAGATACTAAAGTGGTCTGCCATTTCCTTCTCCAGCTCATTTTGTAGATGAGGAAACTGAGGCAAACAAGGTTAAGTGACTTGCTCAGGGTCACACAGCAAGCCAGTGTCTGAGGCCAGGTTTGAACTCAGGAAGATGAGCCTTCCTGACTCCAGGCCTTGTGCTCTATAACCTAGCTACAAGATACATACAGAGAAGATGGAAAACAGCCTGAGAAAGGCCTCCTGCAGAAGATGACATGAGAGCTGAATGCTGAAGGAAGCCAGGGACTATGAGGCAGAGGTGAGGAAAGAAAGTCTAGGCTTCCTGACCAGATTATTCTTTTCCTCTGTACTTTCCTGAAACTTCTGTGGAGGTAGTGGCAAATCCAGGACTGAACCCCGAGGTCAGACTCCTAGCCCAGAGCACTTTCTGCTCAACCCTGATGCTTCAGAAGGATGGAAGAGAGAATGCCAGAGGTGGAAGGGAGCTGAAAGGCTAGACAGGGGAGGGGAACCTGGGGCCTCAAGTCCACATGTGGCCCTCTAGGTCCTCAAGTGCGGCCCTTTGACTGAATTCCCCACCCCTGGTCTAGGATCTCCATCTTATATAGCAATGAAACTAAGGCCCAGAAAAAGAAAGAGATTTACTCAAGGTCATGCAGAAAGTGAGAGGCTGAACTAGAGACTTTTCTGACATCCAGTCCAGGCCACTTTATATTCCATGGGAACAGCCACTGATTGAACTACTTCAAGAAGTTTCTAGAAGATGTTCTGTAGAAATGGGAATTAATGGGACAGCATGAGGTGGGGGAAGGGAGAAGAGCATAGGGGCAGGTGCATGATCTGTGGGTTGTTTACAGAACAAACACCCATTGCAACAGCCATGTTATAACTGGCAACACAGCCTGTCACCCGACTGCTATTCCCATAATAGAGAGCCTGCTAGGATCCCAGGCTTCCTGAGGGGGAAGCCAGCTCTCCCTCCAGCCCTGCCTTATCTCTGGGCTTACTGCCTTCTGGAACCAGCCTTCTGGAGGCTCGGTCACTCACTGGGCAGAGGGTGAAGGACCCCTGCTCCTTTCCCTGTGTCCCCAAAAAGGACCTGCAGGAGCAGGTCCTTTGGTTGGCTCCTGGCTCCCAGGCAAGAAAGTTTCCTGGTCCTTCTTCCCCAGGATCCACCAGCCCAGCACTAGTTAGCCCTTCTCGGTTTGCTCTGCATGCACTTGGACTCATGTGGCTAATTGAGGAAGAGGTCCTGTGAGGCTTAGCATGCCTTGTAATTGACTCACCCCTCCTGGAGGAATAGGGCAGTTGGCTAGTTAATCATAACAATCCCTCCCTCATATCTATGCAATATTCTATACTTCTCAAAGCATTTTCATACCCCTTATCTCCTTTGATCCTCACGGTAACCTGGTGAGAGAGGGTCAGTCAGCCAATAAGCATTTATTAAGATCTTACCATGTACCAGGAATGGTGCCAAGTGCTGGGAATACAAATATGAGCAAAAAGAAAGATAGGGCAGGGAATGTTTACTACCTTTTTTTTTTTAAACAGAAGTTCAGAGAGAGGATTTGATTTTTCTGAGCACATAACGTGGTTAGAGGCAGAGCCCAGGTCAGGGTTCTTTCCACCCCACTCTGTTGTTGGAAGCTTGAGGAAGGGAGCTTTTCCTCTGCTGAAGAAGCTGTTTCATCCTCAGAAGGCCTCTTTGTCCATGTTCTCACTTTATGCCATTCCTTCTCTGATTTCAGGCCCCAGGCACATTTAGGCCCTCCTCATAGTACCCTTTGGCTCAAAGGTATGTCATGTCAGTAACTCTTGGCAGCTTCTAATGATAATATATATTTGTATTTTAAATATCGCTTTAAAGTTTGCCACATACTTTAAATTTAATTAATCTATTTTAGGTATGTAAAATCCAATTTGGGCCTCACAACAACGCTGTAAGGTAGGTGTTATTTTTATCTCCATTTTGTTGATCAGGGAACTGAGGCACAGGGCAGGATAAGTGACTTGCCCAGAATCACGCTGATAAGTGTCTGAGACTGGATTTGAACTCAAGGTCTGCCTGATTATAGACCCAGCACTCAGTACTCTGTGTCACCAGCTACCTCAAAGAGGTGACCCTTTCCAGGTGTGACAATTAATATTTATGTAACATTTTAAGGTTTACAAAACATGTTTCCCACAACAACCCTGTGAGGTAGGTGTTACAGGTTTTATTGTTTCATTTTAAAGATGAGGAAAATAAGGTTTTTGACCACATTTACACAGCTAGCAAGCGCAAAACTAGGCTATGAATTTATATCCTCTCAAACTCAAAAATCCAACACTTTCCACTATGGTTGCCTACCGAGGTATTAGTTTTTTAATTTTATTTGTATTGATGGTGTTTTGTTTTTAAATCAGTCTAATGTTCAAATATATCCTTCTCTTCTCCCTCATCCAGTAAGCCATCCCTTGTATAGGTATTGTTTTATCCCCAGGTAGATGAGAATTTTGGAAATATATGCCTGTAGGTCAAACAAAAATGCCCCAGCCTTATCCTTCCCGTCCTTTGGACTTGAAAGAAGAGAAAAAGAAGGAAAAGGAAGAGGAGGAGGAGGAGGAGGATGAAGAGGAAGGGTGAGGGGGGAAGGGGAAAGAGGAGAAAGAGAAGAGGAAAGGAGGGGTGGGAGGAGAGGAGAAAGAGAAGAAGAAAAAGAAGAGAGATAGAGATAGAGAGAGACAGAGGTAAGAGAGTGGAGAGAGTGAGAGAGGAGAAGAAGGAGGAGAAGGAGGAGGAGAAAAGAAGAAGAAGAAGAAGAAGAAGAAGAAGAAGAAGAGAAGAAGAAGAAGAAGAAGAAGAAGAAGAAGAAGAAGAAGCAGCAACCTCCAGGAGGAATAGTGCCATGGAGGAGCATTAGAAATGCCAGAATGTGGCCATTTTTTAATTTCTTACTCTTTGAAGGTGCAGAGAGGTTTAACTCTTTAAATTTTTTTATCTGTTTATGTTTCAGTGTTTACTTTGTGTCTCAAACTGGCAAATGAGTTATATTCACACAGCAATAAATATCTGAGGGCTATAGCATTTGAACTCAGATCTTACCTGACTCCAAGTCTTGTACTGTAGCCACTATACTACCTAGCTGTCTCAAAGAGCTCACCCTTTCCAGATGTAATAATAGTAAATTTCTGTATGTAAGTTAAGAGCAAGGGTGGCTGGTAGCCTGGCCCGTCTGCTTACCAGCACAGTATAGCACACCCCTGACAGACTGGTAACAAAATTTTGTTTTGAAAAGAAGGGGGGGAAAGCAGTTCAAAAAAATTAACCAATAAATAAGGTTGTCTGACAATATATGTATTCTAAACCCATAGTCCCTCCCCTCTGCCAAGAAAGGAGGGAAGTGTATTTTCTTGACTTTTCTTTAGGGCCAGGAGGGTTATTATAATTACACAGTTTGTAGCCTATTTACAGGAATCAGGGCCTTCAGTCAAAGAGACAAGGAAGGCCTAAGGGTGGAATCTCAGGCCCCAGGTGGATTTTGCTTTCCTTGGGGGAAAGAGGGACTGTAGCCCAGGAGAATGTAAGTTATTCTTGAGCAGGGCTCATTTCATTCCTGCCTTCGGTGTTCCAGAGCCTAGTACAGCTCCTGGTACATAGTAATAGCTTATTAAGTGTTTATTGAATGGATGGATGGAGGAGCCGCTCTAGACTCCCCTGGTTGCGCTTAGCCTGGGTAAGGGGGGGTGGGGGCAGTATATTTGTGGTCAAGTTTATTGTGTAAGGTGATAACTGCATGAGCCTTTCCAGCTGGAACTAGAAGCTGCAGTGGGGGCTGGGCCTTGGGAAGGGCAGGCTAAGATTCTAAGCTAATTCATATAAGAGCCCCGGAAGCACACCAGGCTCTAAGGGCACGGAGTAGCTGAGCCAGAACCCAGGGGAGGGGAAGAAGCCTGGCCATTCAAGTGAGGAAGCCCGTCTAGAACAGCAAGGTTCCAACCTACCCACCCTGGAGAAGAGCTGGCCTAACAAAGAGAGCCTTCCCAGGGCCAAGACTTCTGGAGGCTGGAAGAAGAGGCTCAGGGGGCTTTGTGGGTGAGTGTCTCCTCTATATAGTCATACGCTAACCCCACAGGAACTTGGTCTTGAGTCTATTACCTACAGGCTGATTTTTGATGGGATCTCGGGGTCCCACCTCCAGGATGTCTATGTGTCTTTCAACTCTAAATCCTGTGAGCCTAGGATCCCAGAGAGAGGAATGTCTTCCATTCCCCAGGGAACCATCAGCCCAACTTTGCAAACAAGGTCACAGAAGGGTAATAATGATGGGGCATGGGGGTGGAGGTTAGCCATCATCTGGATATAAGCTATTATTAATGATAAATAATGATAATCTATAACATAAATGATATATAATAATCAATAATATAAATACTTAGATGGTTATACTTAATGTTATTATACATGGTATCTCTCTACATAATAATATAATATATAATGACATATCATCATAGTAATATAATATAATACATAGAGATACTACTTTATTAATAATAGCTGGTGTTATTATAAATAGCAATAATAACAAGGCGTTGTGTCATAGTGGATAGAAAACCAGCCCTGAAGTTCAAGAAGACCTGCTTTCAAGTTCTGCTTCTGATGAATATACTGGTTTTGTGACCCTGGACAAGTCACCTAATTTCTTGGTGTTCAGTCATTTCAGTCACATCCGACTCTTTTGACCTCATGTGGAGTTTTCTTGGCAAAGATACTGGAGTGGTTTGCCATTTCCTTCTCCACCTTAGTTTACAGATGAGGAAACTGAGGCAAACAGGGTTAAGTGGCTTGCCCAAGGGTCACACAGCTAGGGGCTGGATTTGAACACAGGAAGATGAGTCTTCCTGACTCCAGGCTCAGCACTCTGCACTATGGTGCTATCTAGCTGCCCCTCTCGGGCACTAGGCAGCTCTAATGCTATGTTGTAGAAAAAGCATCAACCCACATTCATAGTAGGAACTTTCTCATTCAGAAGTTCCATATAATAGAAAAATCACAGTCCATTCCCTATCCCTAATGATAATAATAATATTAATAAATGATTTAATAATGATTAATTAATGATTTGAGCATACTTACTCACGATAATGTGACATAGGGTGCCAAGGGGATATATAAGTGAAGGTCTCCAACATGTGTCTGGAAATGTGAGAAGCGAATGAATTCAGAGGGAGGGTTGGGACTGGGTACTAGATTTGGGAGTCATCTACACTGACAGAAAGACAACACAAATCCAATTTCTGCCCACTATAAAGGAAGACCCTCCAGTCAGAGGTTAGAGGAGGCTGAGGGAAGTGACATCAAGGCTTAAGTTAGCAGTGTGGTGACGGGATGAGAGGTAATGAACTTATCCTGGGAGGGGCATCTTGTTGGGTGGTGTTGAAACCAGGTAGAGCTACAGATGCAAAACAGAATGAGCTGGAAATTCAAATTCTGCCCACCATAAAGGAAGGCTTTGGGAGGAGTTTGGTACTCTACCCTCTGGCCCTCCAATTAGCTGAAAAGCAAAGGGACAGCAGGAAAGGGGGCATGATGGAGGAGTCTGGAGAATAAGGAGCAGAGCTGGGAGAGAAGCAATGGGGAGCAATGCTGGCTGACCGGGGAAAGTCCCCACAAGAGTTCACCAAGTGGAGCAGAAAGCAAGAGCAAAGGTATCTTCCAGGGTGAGAAGGCTGCTGGGAACAAGGTGAAGTCCCCAGAGTCAGGAGCAGATCAGAAGAGAGGGGTGAAGGAAGGGTGGTAGGGAGAAATGGAGGCCAAAAATACAGACCACCCTTTGTAGAAATTTAGCAGGGAAGGGAAGGATGGGCATATGATGATGGCCTGAGGGCATGACATGGTCAAGTAAAGGCTTTTTTTTTTTTTTAAGGTAGGGAAAACCTTGCCATATAGGGGCCTATAGATGGGGTGACATTGAAGATGAGAGGGAAGGAGAGGGGATGATTGGGAGGAGATTTAAGGGTTTACAACCGGGAATAAAAGCCAGGAAAATTGAGATCTAGTCCCAGCTTTGCTCTTATCAGCTGTGAATTTCCTTTTCTCTGAGTGTTTTTCCATCAGTAAAATAAAGGGACTGGACTAGGTTCTTGCTAAGGTTTGGATGTCAGTGAAGATGCCACAGCACCTAGGAAGACTGAGTCCTGTGGGCAGGCTTCCTGTGGGAGGAGGCCTGATGCCTGATATCCTGCCAGGATAGCAGGAATGGGGCAGGGATTGCCAATTGCAGGGTGAGGTTGGGGAAGTTGCAAAGGGCAGCTGGGCAAAGCTGAGAGTTCACCATTCACCAACCAGGTGCTCCCTTTCCTTTCTCCCTCAGCTCCTCTCTGCCCCACCCTAAGGGTGCCCATGACACAGACACCGCCTGCCTGGCCCCAGGCAGCAGGATGAGAGGGCTCCGATGGCGGTACACCCAGCTGGTAGGTCATGCTCCCCTTCTCCCCAATTCCCTGCCAGGCCCCCCGAGCTTTAAAGCATCAGATGGGTATGGAGCTGCTCTGGGACTGAACTGGGACTCACTTGAGTACTTAAAGCTATTTCTGTTCCTTCTCACAAAGCCCAGCCTCTTCTGGCTCTCACTAATCCCTCAGCTCTTAGCACTCCTGCCTTAACCTTGGCAAATAGCCAAATAGCTTTCCCTTCCTTTAACCCTGCCATTGTCTGGTATGGGTCCACGGAGCTTGTAGTGGGTGAGGTGAGATGTGTTGGTAAGATGACCCCTTCCTATTGCGGAGGTCAGGGGGTGGATCAAGGCACTGGGCTATGCCTGGGAAGTGTGGCTGTCCCCTATTGGGACAGTATCAGTCTACTCGATGGTATTCTTGTTGAAGCTCTCTACTGTGCCCAACCCTGCCCTGGGCTGACACTGCCTATGAGGTATGTGGGCCCATTGTGGCTTGAACCTGGCTTGGGGGCGGGGAAGAAAGTACCACCTGTTGCCAGAGGCCAGGTTAAGCAAGAGGAGCCTGGGAGGAGCTAGCTATGAAGGGCTTCAGGGTAGGAACCAGGCTGGCAGGAGAGGCCCTGACTGATCCTCACTCCCCAGGTTGGGCCTTCTTCCCCTGAGCAGTGCCTAGAACTCAACACACACACCCACACCCACACCCACACCCACACTCACATACACACTCACACATGTGTATAAGACAGGATTAGATCAGGAAGGGTCCTTAGAGACCATCTAGTCCAAGGGTTCTCAATCTTTTTGGTGTCCTGGACTCCTTTAGCAATGTAGTGAAATCTATTACAGCCTTCTCAGAATGATATTTTTAAATACATAAAAATGCATAGGATTACTAAGGAAACCAATTATACTGAAATATCATTATCAAAATGCTTTCAAAAACCAAATTTGTGATATGGTTATCTCATGTGCTTCTCTATTAATACATTAATAATAGCTAACATTTACAAAGTGCTTCAAGGTCTGCAAAGAGCTTTAAAAACCTTTGTAAACTTTCCATAAACATTATCTTATTTGATCTTCACAATAACTCTGTGAGGTAGGTGTTATTATCTCCATTTTACAGATGAGGAAACTGAGGAAAACAGAAGTGAAATGGGCTACCCAGGGTCACACAGCTAGTAAGTATCTGAGGTAGGATTTGAACTCAGCTCTTTCCCATCCCAACTCTACTCACTGTACTATCTAGCTGCCTTAAATAACAAAGTAATACATTTAAAATACAGGTAAATTAAAGGGTCTAATAATTATAGTGACTTCAAAGTAGTGATGAACATAATGACATTTCAAGATATCTACAACAATTTTAATGTGATACAAAAATATCTGTGATTTCTCTTGGTAACAAAGTCACAGGTATTGCTAATACTCCTGTGGTTTGCGGCCTATGTTCACAATTGAAGAAAATGCTACATTGTTAGCAAAAATAAAGCTGTAATTTTTTTTCCCCAACCAAGTTTCCGGACTCCCTGAAATCTATCTGTGGATCCTGGGTTAAGAACCCATGATCCAGTCCAACTTCCTCATTTGACATTTGAGGAAACTGAGACCCAGAGAGGGAAAAGTAAATAAATTAAATAGTAAGAGGCCACGCCTGTATTTGAAACCAATTTTCTGATAATAAATCTAGGTCTCTTTTTCTCACACTGTGATACATGAGCTTACCTCTGGTCCCCTGTGTACACACACACACACACACACACACACACAACACACACACACACACACACCCCCGCTTACAAGGCCTTTGTTCTTGACCCCTGGATAGGAGGGATTGTGGGTAGGAGTTAAGGGCAGGGATCCTGGATGTTCTGGCACCTGCTTCCCCCCCCCCCAAAGCTCTAACCTGACCTCTTCCCCAGGACAGAGCAAACTTAGAAGAACCGGGAGTGGAGAAACCTTGAAACCCCTAGCTGCCCCGAGGTCTCTGTCTCCTCGTGTCAGGACACCAGCCTCGGGCGGGCCCAACTCCGTGGGAAAGGTCCCCATTTTCATCCCTAGGGAGCTAGGGACATTCATGTCCTTGGCACTTAAGAGTTGCTTTCCCCTCCCCAGAAGGAGAAGCTGAGCTGGAGGGAAGCTGCACCTGAGAAGAGAAACCTTCCTGGGGGTGTGGGGGTCCTGCAGTCCTCAAAGGCCTCACAAGATGGTGCCAGGGGGCACCGGCACTGGGAGGCAGTGGTGGAGCCTGGAGAGGGACACAGGCGGGGTGCTGAATGCTTGGGTGGAAATCTAGACAGAGGTAGTGTGCAGTATGGATTGGGTTTCAGACCTGTCTGTATTAGAGACCCAGTTTTTCACAACCTCCCCATGTGTTTTTAGGGAAATCATTTCCCCTCTAAAAAATGAGGTTCGGATGAGATGGTCTCTAAAATCTCTTCCAGATTCTATGGTTTCTATGACTTAATGTACATCTTAGAGAGAAACAAGGGGGTCCACATCTAAGAAGGCTGCCTTCTCCACTGCTTAGGCCCCTACGGGCCATGCCTGAATCCACAGATCTCCTGTCTGTACCGTCTGTATCTCCCACAGCCCAGCCAACCGGATGACCCACTGCCAGGAGAGGCCGAGGCTGAGGCCGAGACTGTGTCAACTGCCCGGAGCCCAGACACTGAGGAGGCTTGGGTCCCCACCCTGGGAGAGAGCAAAGTCCTTCATGCAGAGGAATTCAGGCAGGTATGGCTACTGACTGGGATTTACAGACTTTGGATCTGAGCCTGAGAGGGCTCCTGCACGTCAGCTTTCTTCCTAAACGGTGTCAGGGAGAGACTAGCAGTAGGGAGATCGAGGTTCTTGTTCTGGCTCTATTGTTTGATTTGCTATGGGAAATAGGAACGGTTATTTCCCTGCCATGAGCCTCAGTTTTCCCCTTCTATAAAATGGTGCTAATATGTTGGCCCCATCTGCCTCATTACAGGCTCAAAGGTGCAATGCCTTTCTATGGCTCTGCCCTGAGGCAGAGAACTGAAAGCAGTGGCTAGGGCAGGTCTTCTTATCCATCCCTTGGTTACTATTCTTGGCCCAAGGCCTCCTGGTTTCCCAATCCTCCCCTAACCTTGTCTACAGAGCACCCCATTCATGCTCCTACTTCTGTCTCCAGCTCGTGCCACACTTTCCCCCTCGGTTCACTGGCCACTCTTGGACTCTGGTTTACTGCACCGAGAGAGATGGTTTCAGCCTGAAGAGCCTGTATCGGAGGATGGAGGGCCAGAGCTCCCCTGTGCTACTGGCCCTCAGGGATCGGGATGGCCAGGCAAGTGGTGCCACACCTCATGGCGGGGGAGGGCTGGTGCAAAGCAAAGGCTCAAGCACTGAAGGAGGTCATGTTGGTGTCTCCCTGCCCTGGTGGGACCCTAGAAGTTTCTCTTCTCTGGAAACAGTGTCTTCAGAAGCATACTTACCTGCATTCCCTGGGGAAAGGACATACAAAGAGCAGGGGAATGAGGATGCTCTCCCCAGATGGCCCACAGGACAGGGTCCCCTTACCATATGTCCAAGGCACAGGCGCTATGTTGAAGGTTCACATGGTGGGGGCAGTCATGAGCTAAGTCAGACATTGGGGACCCCTAAGAAATAAATTCTCACCCCTGCACTTCTCCCCCTTCAACTACCGCAGAATCTAGATGTCTGAATTCTGGTCCCCCAACAGTTTTATGATCTGGTCTTCCTAAAAGATATTTCTCTCTCTCTGTCTCTATCTTCCCCTCCCCTCTCCTCTTCTGTTTTTCTCTCTCTCCTCCTCTCTTCTCTTTTTTCTCTCTCTCTCCTGCCCCTCTCCTCTTCTCTGTTTCTCTCTCCTTCCCCTCTCCTCTTCTCTGTTTCTCTCTGTCTCCTATCTCCTCTCACCTCATCTCTTCTCCTTTTTCTTCTTTTCTCTCTCTGTCTCTGTCTCTCTGTGTCTCTCTCCCCATACATACACACAGACACTACCAGGTGGTAGGCGGCAGCAGGATCAGGGGGAGGTGTCCTATAATTAATCCTTCCCAGCAACATCAGCCTTGATTCCCATCCATACTCAGAATACCAACCTAGAAATTTTTGTGCCTGGAACAAGTACACAAACAGTACCTAGGACAAGTGGCACAAGACATGCCCTCACTTTGGCAGTTGTCCTATCAGGGGCATTAAGAGACCCTGGGGAATTTGAGGTTGCTTCTGGGAAGGCGTTGGGATGCAAAGCAGTTTGGAGTAGGGGAGAAGCTCACCCTAGCCTACTACACAGGGGCTTCCCATTTTAACTGATTGTTCTCTCTAACTAGGTGCCAAGTTCTGCTCTTCTATGCCGCTAAGAGACAAAGTTGCTATCAGGGCCTTCAAATTCGTCATCCTTGGGCAAAGTCCAACTTGCCCTATCCTAGTTATGGCCTTGTTTCTCCTAATCAGTCTATCAATAAACATATCTCTCTCTCTCTTTTTTGGGGAGTTATATTTTTAATGACTTTTCTTTTATCCTTTAAAAATTTTTTTTATTTTTATTTTTTCCATATGCTTTTGAGTTGAACATTTTTCTCCCTTTTTTAAATGACATTTTTAAAAGCACCTCTCAAGAACCTACTGTGTGCTAAGCTCTGGGCTCACTCAGCTCCCCTGTTAGGAGAGAGGAAACAGGAAACGATCCTTGTCCTTGGAGAGCTCACAGTCTGGGTAGGGAGGCAAAACTTGTCCACAGGAAACAATTAGAGAAAAGGACAAAGCGGTGTGTAATTTAGGGCTAAATTACATGTTTCAAACTCTAAATGCTGTAAATGTTCAATGTGGGCTGGGGCAGTTGGTGAAGGCTCCCTAGAGGAGAGACTACCCATCCTGTGCCTTGAAGGGTGAGGACAATTTTAAGGAGATGAGGGGGGAAGGGCATTCCAGGCTGGAAACCTGTGTAGGCCTAGAGATACACCATTTATGGGGTAATCGGCACTATTATAGGTCCAGGACATAGATCTTCACTGAGAACCAGGCTTGAGTTGGGGCAGGGGTGGTGGTGGTGGTGGTGGTGGTCCTATGAAGACAAGGGATGGGGTGTTCCTTGGTGAAACTTCAGGGAGCCTGAGAGCTTCCTAAGGATACTCCCCCCCTTCCCCCTGCCCCGTCCCCACAAGGCCCGTGCCAGATGCCAGCTATGCTCTCGCTTCTTGTTCCAGATATTTGGTGCCTTCTCCTCAACGGCCATCCGGGTCAGCAGCTGTTTTTACGGCACAGGAGAAACCTTCCTCTTCTCCTTCTCCCCACAGCTGAAGGTGCGGTCCCTAGGCTGGAGCCAGGTCTGAGTCAGTCTCCTGGGGGCCTTGGGCAGCACGAAGCTCTACCCCCACTGGGAATAACTTTTTTTTTTTTGGAGGCAATCAGGTTAAGTGACTTGCCCAGTGTTACACAGCTAGTAAGTATCTGAGGCTGGACTTGAACTCAGGTCCTCCTGACTCCAGGGCCAGTATTCCAAGTTAATCCTTTATTAAGTCAAACTATCCCTCTGTGTAACTTTCCCACTTTGGTCCTAGTACTGTCCTTTAGGGCCAAGCAGGATATAAGTCAGATCCTTCTTCCAGATAACGGCCCCTAAGATATTTGAACAGGGGCAGCTAGGTGGCGCCATAGTGCACACTGGGCCTGCAATCAGGAAGGCTCACCTTCTGAGTTCAAATCTGGCCTCAGACACTAGCTGTGTGACTCTGGATAAGTCACTTAACCGAGTTTGCCTCATCTATAAAATGAGATGGAGAAGGAAATGGCAAACACTCTAGTATCTTTGCCAAGAAAAACCCCAAATGGAGTCATGGAAAGTCAGACACAGATGTTTGAACCTAGCAATCCTGAGAAGCAGTTTGTTATACAGGACTGGCTTTTTGTCTTGGTTTATGTGTGTCTTAGCAAGTCATTTATTATATCTCTTTTTTGTGTGAGGCAAGCAGGGTCAAGTGACTTGCCCAGGGTCACACAGCCAGTAAGTGTCAAGAGTCTGAGGCCAGACTTGAACTGTCCTCCCAATGCCAAAGCCAGAGCTCTACCACTGCGCCACCTAGCAGCCCCTATATCTCTATCTCTTGTGCCATCCCACACCCCTACCCCACTCCCAACCCTCCTAGCTAAGGTAAAAATGAGCCCTGCACTCAAGTCATCAAGAAATCTAGAATCAACCTCTGAAATATATCTTCCCTAGTAAAAGTTTTCACTGGCACAAAATCAAGATTATTGCAGTAACCTCCTGTAGATCTTCATCTCTCTTCCTTCAAATATTTCTTACATACCACTAAGCTTCTTATCTTCTTCATCCCTGGATCGAGTTGTGGGGTCATAGATTTAGAGGTGAAAAGCACTTTAGGAGAATCTGAAGCATATAGAGTGCTGGCCTGGAGTCAGGAAGACCTGAGTTCAGATCCTGCTTCAGACACTAGCTGTGTGACCCTGAGCAAATCACTTGACTTTTGTCTGTGTCTGTTTCTTCATCCGTAAAATAGAGATAATACTTCCTACCTCCCAAGGTTGTATAAAGCTAAAAAGATAATATTTGGTTTTGCATACCTTAAAATGCCTTATAAATGCTGGCTATGATTATGCTTATTATTGTCAAAATAACCTCGCTAAGGTCTGATATTAGGACATTCTTTGCTTAAAAAAACAAAAGACAAACAAAAGAAACCTTCTGTGGTTTCCCATTGAGTCTAGGTTGAAATACAATTTCCTTAGTTTGTCATTTAAGGCTTTTCGCAATTTGGCTCCCACCTAGCTTTCCAGCTTATTTCAAACTACACCCTTTTGTGAACTCTATGTTACAGTAAAACTAGCTATTATTTGTGGCTTAGTCATTTTTCAGTTGTGTCCGACTCTTCTCGACCTCTTTTGGAGGTTTTCTTGGCAAGAGTACTGGAGTGGTTTGCAATTTCCTTCTCCAGCTCATTTTACAGATGAGGAAACTGAGGCAAATGGGGTTTAAGTGACTTGCACAGGGTCACACCGCTACTAAGTGTCTGAGGCTAGATTTGAACTCAGGAAGAAGACCTGACTCCAGGTTTGGAACTCTATCCACTGTGCCACTTAGCCACCTCTATAATAGTCTAGCCCTTAAAAACAAAAAAAGAAAACAAAATAAAAATAAAAAAACCTCTTGCACATCTTTGCTCTCTTTTAATTGTGGCAAAAATGCCGTGAGATAGGCAGGAGAGAGATTATTATCCTCATTTTTAAGATGAGAAAACTGACCATCACCCAGCTGGCAAATGACAGACCCGGGATTTAAGCGCAGGTTTCATCATCCTCAAGCTTTTCCCACCACACCCTACACTCCTCTCTCCATACGACCTTCTCTTAGCTGGCATCAGGGAACGGAGAAAAATTACCCGGAAGAGTTCTGAATTCAGAGAAATTTTGGGGATGGCCAAAAGCTCTCCTTCCAACTCTGCCATCAAGTGGTCACCAGTGGTACTGCTATATGCTCAGGTCCACATCACTAAAAAAGTTTTTCTTCTCGTTGCAGGTATTTAAGTGGACAGGAAGTAATACTTTCTTTGTGAAAGGAGACCTGGACTTGCTGGTGATGGGGAGTGGCAGGTATGCATTCTATAAGCCTTCCTGGGATTCTGGATTGTTGTGTTCTCATCCCCTGCCTCTTTTAAGGGACACAGGGACTAGGGACTCTCTCTCCTCCTTAAAGCCTCTTTCCTGGTCAAATCTATAAATCCTTGCCACAGAAGGTTGCTCAAAATAAGCAAAGTTCAGAGTTGGCAATAAAACCATTCCTACACGATGCTAATAACAGAACAGTTTAATATGTTTAGTCCTTCCTCCTTCCCTGGTAGGGCAAACATTAGCACCACATGGCAGACATAAAGGCTGACCTAGTGACCTCCTTCTTTAGGAAGAGGGTAACACTCGCCAAAGGGGCTGAGACCTCACCCTAGACACAGGCAAGACCAACTTGACTCAATAGACAAGATGTAAAGGGGGATGGGGAACCCCTTTCTCAAATAGCCCTCCTACTATCTCTTTGTCATTGATAGCTGAAGACTCAACTATTGCACAGTCATTCCTTTGAAGAGTTAGGCATTGCCTTTTAAAATGTTGCAAATAGAGGTGGGGGTCTGAGTAAGTTACACTAGATTATGTCAGACTTTTTTGACCTATTGATCAGTTTTCCTGCTGTTTCCCCCCCCATTTATTTTTATTTATTTTTTAAAATAAGGGATGGCTCTCTGGGAGGGAGAGGGAGGACTGTTTGCTTTGGGAAATGTAGGTGATGTAAAAACAAAATACACCAATAAAAATTTATTTAAAAAAATTGAACACTGCAAATACGTCCTGTAGGATAGCTGTTCAATTCCTAAATTGCACATGACACAGCTGTATCTGAAGGGTGCATGACTTTTGGAGTGGCAGCTATCTGGCTGGCAGAAATAGAGAACGGGTACAAACAAGGGAGGTTCAGAGCCCTAAAAACAAATTTTCAACCAGATCAAGGCTTTGGTGGGGATGGCCTTGATTGTCAATCTTTAGTCCTAACCAAATGTGGTTTGGTGATGAGAACCAGCATTCATAATGTCCCAGTTTCTTTTTTGTCTCCAGCGGCCAGTTTGGGCTGTGGTTGGATGGGGACCTGAACCATGGGGGCAGCCGTCCCTGTGCTACCTTCAACAATGAAGTCCTAGCCAGCCGGGAAGAATTCTTCATACAGGATCTAGAGGCCTGGTCCCTGAGCTGATGTGCCCAGACTGGCAAGACCTGCTCTGACCTTCTCACTGGGTGTTGCTTGCTACTTCCCTCCCCAGGGTAACAGTACAGCATAAGCGGGCAGTTTAAGCTGCGGGCCTGAGTTTCTTGGTTAGCTATGTAAACAACTGCAGTCCCCCACCTATCAACAGGCTTGCATAACTAGGACAAGAATGTGGGGGATAGATACTATGTTAGAAATATCTTCCAGTTGCAAATGACTGTTTGCTTTGAATAAACCTGGATCCCAGGCAACTTGTCTTCAGAACTTCCAGATAACCTGCCATCAAATGTGGTCCAAATCCTACAGGCAGAGTAATTAAGTTCCTGATAAGGATTGCTACACACCGAGGGGCCCGGGGAACTGGGAGTACCACCCTTTCCCTTCCCCTCAACACTGCCCTGTCCCTTAATTTTTTTCTAGGATATTTACTACGCACACACTAACTAGTAGATTTCATGGCTAGTGCACTCTGCCCCAAACCAAGCAATGCTCAAATGCAGGAGTCGACTGCAAGAGGTGGCTTAGGTAGGCTAGGTGGGCAGAGATCACACTCAGGTTCAATCATCTACCATATACTCCCTCGTCCAAATTCTTCCAGCTCACCAGGGCTAGTCTAGCGTAGGGATACAAAGTACCCAAATCCACATCAGGCTGAAACCAATGCCCTGGAGTAAACTCTTTGCTGGGGAAGTACCTTCCAGCACAACAGGGTCGAGAGGAATCAACATTGAGTGTTTTCACATGCCTGGCCAAGTGATATCACCAAGCATAAGGAGTCCCAAGGGAGAGGGTGAGGAAGACTAGAGCCTCAACAAGGACACCTAAGAAGGCTTCATCTGAAATCTCCTCTGCACTGCTGTTGCTCAGGAGAAGCTGGTGGCCTGTGGGCACAAGACACAAGGCTACACCTCTCTCCTGGTCAGCACATTCTTCTCCCTCCCCCCCATCTTTTAAAGACTTATCCTTTTCATGGCAGCCATTCCCTCTGAAGTTGGGTCACAGAAATCAAGGAACGCAAACCACCCAAACCGCATCTTCACTCACAGGCCAACTGGGCTGGAGAGAGAATGAACTACTGCGGTCAAGATGAAACATGTTTCTCTTGTTTGACGATGGAACAATCTCAGTTTAAGACATGGGTCTAGTCTCCAACGAAGGATAACAAGTAGCATGAAAGAAAGCTCAAGAAAATAAGATATTTAGCTGGAGATACATTCACAAAGCTTTATTGCAGTTATTTTTCCACAGCTGTAACAGTAATTGGTTTTTTAAAACACAGTGTTCTTAGAAAGAAAATATTCTGTAATTCCAGCAGTGGAGACACCAAAGTCTGTTTGTACACAAACATCAAAGGCATTTCTTAAATAAAATTTGAACCTGATAGCAAAAGGAGGGAGGCAAACATTACAAAATAAAGTGCATCTGCCTTAACAGGACAAAAATGCAAATAGCAGATCTTGATTTTCCACCCCTACCTCCCCAATGTGTGCCTATCAATCAAACAGTAGTCGGATATAAACTTCCAGAGTCAAGCATGATTCAACAATAGTGTTTTGTAGAAATAAGACAATATTACATTCCTGTCCTTGGTTCTGGATACATAATCTTAATAAAAAGCACTTATGTAGCACAGTAATTCTGAGAACCTCAATTGGTTTTTTTTTTTTTGCCAACTACCCCCACCATTCCCAGATCCTCTCGTTGATGAACAAAGTAATTTGTCCAAAGAACGGGTATCAGGGGCTGCACTTTCTTATACAGTTGACCAAATCAACCTAATGTCGTCTATTCTGAGTGAAGATAATGTATAGATTAGTCCTCACGTCATAGTCACTTTTTTTTTTGAGGCTGTCTGGGTTAAGTGACTTGCCCAAGGTCACCACACAACTAGGCTGTGGCCATGTTTGAACTCAGGTCCTCCCGAGGTCCCGGCTGATGTTCTACCCATTACGCTACCTAGCCGCTCCATGTCCACTTGCTTCTCAGATATCATCCTACATCCACTTGGTGACTACCTCTAATGCCCGTCCAGGTTGATCCTAGAATTGGGAGCCCAAACACTCGCTAGACTGGGAAATCTGGCTGCCCGTCCAGGCCTCTGGAGACAATTCACTTGAAGATCAAGGCCAGTGGATGACACAGCATTGTGATCTCATTCAATTTAACAAACATTCTGAAGTGTTTATTGTGTTTAATGCCCCATGTTAGGTCCTGGGAGAGGTATAAAGATAACAAGACATGGTCTCTCCTCGCAAGGACTTTATAATCTAGCATCTACAGAACAACAGAGACCATGATGAGGTAACAAGAGAGGTATATAAAGTGCTATAACAAATCAAAAGAGGCAAAGATTGTTTCAGATGGGGGATCACGGAAGGTTTCATGAAGGAGGTTCTGTCTTGAAGGGCGTGCAAGATTTTACCTCCCAAAAAACAGTCTGGAAGTGTCTGGGAACAACTGCTTTGGGGACGTGGCCTGCACTCCTCTGTTCCGCCGCCGACTAGGCCTAGACAAGAGCAGATCTTGGACGAAGCAGGCAATACTAGCATGCACATATGCATGACGAAGGATGAGCAGGGACCCAGGGTTCTTTGATTATCCATTCCCACTCTGGGCACCCTGGGAAAAAGGAGATTCTACACTGGCCTGGGCCCGAAAGCCACAGTAAAGTCTGGTCGTTTTGCCTGAACAACATCTTGATGTGGTCTATTTTATTTTGTTGAGGCAGCAAAAACTTACTCCCCAGTCAGAACAGTGCCTTGGAAAAGTGGTGTTTTAGAGCAAAGCCTTCTTACAGTCTTGTTTATTCAGAAACAAGGGTGAACAAAATCTGCCGAGAGAGGGAGGAGTCATTTAGGTGAGGGTGGAGGTCCTATCCAGCGGCAACGCTGCCCTGTGTTAGAGCCCTCATAAGGTCTGCACAGGGATCTGCAAAGGCCACTTCATTCTGTGCACTGAAATCAGTTTGATTTGGAATAATGTGCCTTGAACCCTTGTGCTTTTCCCCTAAAAACAACTTTTCTAAGTGCCAACTCCAAACACACCTTCCCTCAAGTCTACAGGAGACTAGCAGGGTAAAGGCTGGTACCTTTCATCAAGGCACGCCCTCACCTCAGAGGGGCCGGGCCAGGCCCCAAGCCTTTAGAGGATTCTGCTGTTTTAACCAGGGATTGGGCAGGGGGGAGGGAAGCCTCTCACAACCAGGAGCCAACACACCAAGTCTGTTTCCCATAAATTTTTAAGACAGTTTTCCTCCCACAGGAATTGAATGTATAAAAGTGGCGTGGTTTTTTTTTAACATAAAGAATTAAGAGTTGTAGATATCAAGACAATTTTGAATTAATAATAAAAAAGTTTATATTTTTCCTGCAGTCTGTAGATTATATACTACCTGATATAAAATCCTCCTATTCCTTCATAAAAATTGTTCTATTGCAACTAAAAACCTAAAATTGGCATGGAATTTGTTAAGAATGCTGTTTATAATAAAATTCCCCTTATCTGTAGCTCTCAGCTCCTCAAGGTAATTAGAGAGAAAAAACTTGTGACTTATTTACATTCTGATCAGTTTCTGACTGAGAGATGCAGAACAGCTTTGTTTGCAGAAGCCAAGAAAGAGATGGTAGGTGTGTTTAAGCCTTCTTGCAGCATGGTGACCTGGGCAGACCCTCCTACAGGAAGCAGGTATATGCACACAGTGAGTATTCTCATTCTATTAGTCGTTTCGGAAAAAGCTTGGTTTTCACTTTGGAACCCTTTCTGTTATGATCTGGAGTTTGGCCTACATGCTGAGAATTCCAACTTGCTTTCATAGGTGTTAGTGTTGGGGCCACAACATCACCATCCTATTTTTCAAGAATGAAAAAAAATGACAAACAAGGAAAAGATAGTTATACCACTTGACCTCAGAGTGAGGAGAGTACAATTTTATTAGACTCAGAAAATGGCAGAGCGAAAACAGAATCTGAAACTCAACCCAATCCCCTTCAATTTACAGGTTCGGCAATGAGGGATTAGAGGTGAAGTACCTTGCTCTGGCAACCTAGAAACATAACAAGTTAGTGGCAGAGTACAGATGGATACTTAAGACGTCCAACCTCCTTCCTCTCAGGATTCTCCCTGCCATAGGACGCCTTCATTGTGTTCAACTCCCTAAATTATGTGTACCATGGATGCACAACTCCCTGAGCTCAGGCCACTACGGCACTGTCATGACAGCATGACACCAAGAAGCCTTATCAAAATGGAAAGATTTAATTAAGCATTACTGTCAGGTATTACAGGCCCCACTACGAAAGGGTGCCCTTGATATGAGATGATACTGTTGACCCACCAGCAAGGGTTCTAAATAGGAATGGGCTGCACTGTATCATTTATATATCTGTGAGAGAGTTAACTGGCTTAATACTATGGCCTGTGGGAGGGAACTATTTTCCAGCTGAGTGAACCACAGTGGAGAATCTTGGCCTCATTAGTATGATGCTTAACCCAGACTGTTACCTGATGCAGACCTCTACGCTATCCCTAAGTAAAAGATCCCCTCTGAGACCTTTGTCAATATTAGGGCAGTTGGAGGGAAAAAAATTATATATATGTATATTATAGGCATAATATACATATATATTATAGATATAGATATATCGATATATAGATGGACAGACACAGGGTGAGTTGAAGATGAAGGAGTGATATCTGGAGAATAAAATTAAGAGGTGAGAGAGGATTATACTGGGAGGAGAAAAGGAATGGTAGAATGGGGTAAATTATTTCACATAAAACAGACAAGAAAAGGCAGTGGAGGGGAAGTGGGGGAAGGTGAGAGGGGATGAGCCAATCTTATTCTCACCAGATTTGGCTTAAGGAGAGAATAACATACACACTCAATTGGGTATAGAAAGCTATCTTACTGTACAGGAAAATGGGGAAAGGGGATAAGATAAGAGAGCAAGGGGTGGGGTGGATGATGATAGAGGGGAAGGTAGACTGGGGGAGGGGGTAATCAGAAGCAAACACTTCCGAGAAAGGACAGGGTCAAAAGAGAGAATAGAATAAACAGGGTGGGATGGGATGAAAGGAAATATAGTTAGTTTTTTACAACATGACTACTATGGAAGTGTTTTACATGACTACACATGTATAATCTGTATTGAGTTGCTTGCCTTCTCAATGAGGGTGGGTGGGGAGGGAAGAAGGGAGAAAATCTGGAAGTCAAAGTTTGAAAAACAAATGTTAAAAATTGTTTTCACATGTAACTGGGAAAAAAGATATACAGGCAATAGAAATCTATCCTGCCCTACAGGAAAATAGAAGGGGAAAGGGATAAGAGAAGGGGGGGAGAGATAGAAGAGAGGGAAGATTAGGGGAAGGGTATTCAGAATGTACCCTGTCTTGGGGGGAGAGGGACAAGATGGGGAGAAAATTTGGAACTCAAAATCTTGTGGAACTGAATGCTGAAAACTAAAAATAAATAAATTAATTAAGCACTTACTATATTACAAAAAAAGTAAATGATCCCTCAAAACAAAACACTGTTGGGACTTCTAGGAAGAGAACAAGGAGAACAAGCCCCACTAACTTCCTCACTCAAGACACACTTACTGAAAGGAGGTCTATTCTAGATGCCTTGAGATGTGAGCCCTTGCTTGTATTCACATGAGAAAAGCAACCTTGGCATGTTTTTTTTGGCAACCAAGCACAGCCATCCACCTTTCAAGACATCTCCATGTCTATGGTGTACCACACCCCCATGTTGAGATTTGGTTATTCTGTGATGGAGCATATCCAAAACAGCCTGATCATCTCCCACTCAAACCAGCATGTCCCCATTCTCCTTCCCCAACTTTCCCATTTCCAATAACAGCAGAAAGTCACTTCTGCATGCAAACTTGGAGTTTTCCTTTGTTATACCAGGTCAGATACCAAGACCCATCAATTCTTCCTTAAAAATATCCTTCACATGGATCCTTTCCTCTGCAACATGGATATCATTACTCTAGTCAACAGAGTCTTCACAATATGTCAAGATTACTTTAATATCTTTCTTACTGGTCCCTAATTTCAAATCTTCCTTGGAGAAGTCTTCACCACTCAATGGGTTCTCACTGCTTATAAAACAAAGTCCAAACTCCTTAGCTTGGCTGTCAGAGTTCTCATAATCTGATCCTTCCCCTACTTATTCGACTTTATTTCCCATTACATCCCATCACTTCAATCTAATTAATTTTTACACAAACATGTTACATTCATTGCAAACTTTTAAGACTTTGTCCATGTTGTTCCTTCAAGGTGCCCAAATCCTATTCATGCACTAATATTTACCTCAAGCTCCACTATTTTATTTTGACTTAAATTTTTTAGAAAAATTCTATTAATCATCACAGTACTCATAAAAATTAGAAAAATAGTATAGGGGGGCAGATCTGAAGTCTCCCAAATTCCTCTCCAAATAACCTTAAAATAATACCTCAAGATGAATTCTGGAGTAGTAGAACCAACAAAAGGACAGGGTGAAA